AATTTGTAAACCAAAGCTTAATGAGACTACAGTTATGACCTATGTCAAGTTTCCAAGAGAGAATAACCAATGAATTAGCTGAAAAGTGCTCCAGAATCAATGAAAATTAAAGCAGATTAACTGGCCATGGTTCAGAATTTTCTTGCTGGAGATAAGGTATTGCTTTTTATGCCTATCTCTGTGGAACCTCAATTACTGAACCATATCAAATCAGAAGCAAACTCTGATGTGATTTTATGACATAAACTCTTGGCAGAAGAAAAATCAACAATTGTATCATGATCTACTATGACTGCAAGGACAATTGGGAGTGTGGTGATGAAAGAAATAGGGAATGATATAAAAATATTAGAATGATTTAAGAATAATCGCAATGAAAAAATTCCCAAGTTGACCTTTCAGCAATCAGAATGGATAATGTGGGGTGGCTTAAATTTAAATGGAATATTATGCTGTCTTCTTACACATCTTACCTCCATCATTAACGTCAGAAGTGAGGATGTTCACCGATGATTGCACGATATTCAGCATTATTTGCGATGACTCTGTCTGCTTTAGTATCTATGTTCAAATGTGACAGGACCTGGGCAATGTCAAGACCCGTGTTGACAAGTGGCAAGTAATATTCACTTCAGAGAAATTCCAAACCACCCCTTGACATTCCATGGCGTTACCTCCACTCTCTCATCCTGAGGATTATCATTGACTAGAAATGCAACGTGTGGTGTGTATACACACATGTACACAGTATTGGCGTGAGTCACGTGTTCTGCTGTCCTCCATCTGCAGGGCGTATGTTAGGAGTGTGATGGAACACTCTCCACTTGGCTGGATAAGTGCAGCTCCAACAACACTCCAGATGCTTGACATTACCCAGCACAAAGCAGCCTGCTTGAATGACACCACATCCACAATCCCCTATTCTCTCCTCCACCGATGCTCAGCGGCAGCAGGGTGTTCTTCTACATATAGCATGCACTGTAGAAATTCATCAAGGATCCTTAAACAGCACCTTCCAAAACCATGACCGATATCATCTGGAAGGACAGTGGCGGCAGATATGAGAAGGCCACCACCTACAATTTGTTCTCCAAGCCACACACCATCCTGACGTGGAAATATCTCTGTTCCTTCAGTGTTGCTGGGTCAAAATCTTGGTATTCCCATCCTAAGGGCATTTTGGGTCTACCTGCAGCATATGGACTGTAATGTTTCCAGAAGGCAGTACACCCTAGATCTTTTTAAATCTCAAGATGGCAGTGGCAGAGTTGGCAGTCTTTGATTCCTCAGCATAGGGCTCAGTCACTCATGGGCTCATATGGTGGGCTTGGTTGCATCCACATGGCTTCTTCATTTTTTCAGCTCAGTAAATTTGATAGCATGGTAATGTTGTTTTTGGTTTTGGAGGCCCTGCGGCTGCCTCTTGATGTCCTCTGTGCAGTGTGACCACCTCAGGTTCTGTGGTGGCAGACATGGGAGTGGCAGTGCTGGTGGCAGCAGAGAAGGAGTACGTTTTCAGGACCTGGGGACAATGTCGGATGGCGGTGGCTGCAGGAGAGAGAGGGTGAAGTCTACGGAGAAGGAAAGATGAACTGTTGAAGCTGCGTCTGTAATATCAAATTGATCCCAATTTATTCAGTATGTTACAATTTAATTTATTTGTTAATCCAAGATGGTGCTGAAGCATGGTGACATTAAACACTTCACTACCTAGGTATATGTGACAATATTTAATCTTATCACCTTCTCAAGGGCAACTGAGGGCAAACAATAAATGCTGGTCACCCAGCAATACCCATGTCCCAGAAGTGAATGTAAAAAAGAGAAATCTATTGAAATAACTTGGAAAAGGTATTGCAACCTCAGTTTAAATTGATTTGTATGAATAGGTCAGAAAAAATTACTTTTTCTAAATATGATGCTAATGTACTAGGTGAGTCACTCTAAAACTACCTTTATTATTGAATCAATCCAGAGAGATATGATCAAGTACTTAGTCAGTTCTATTACATGATGGGCAATGACATTGGACCAAGCCATAGTTGGAGCTTGTCTGTTTGGTGGTGTTTTAACCAGGTTGACCGCAGCAAAGCCAAAAATGGTAATAAAGGCAGTTCATATCTAATTCCAGTGATTGGAAGATTCATAGAAAGATCGGACAAGTGGATGGGAAATCTCTAATTCACCAGTCTCCCTGTTGCAGTCCATCTAGCTGTAGTATATTCCTATATAGTGTTCACTCACTGTTTCAAAATAGAGTAGAATCCCTACAGTGTGGAGGTCGGCCATTTGGCCATCAAGTCCGTTCTGACCCACAAAAGAGCACCCACCCAGACCCAACCCCCTATCCTGTCTGTATTTCCCATGTCTAATTCACTTAACCTACACATCCCCAGATACTATGTGCAATGGCATGGCCAATCCAACTAACTTGCACATCTTCGGACTGTGGGAGGCAACCAGAGCACCCGGTAGAAACCACACTGTTACAGGGAGAATATGCACGCTCCACACAGATCGTCGCCAGAGGGTGAAATCGAACCCAGGTCCCTGGCACTGAGGCAGCAGTGCTAACCACTGAGCCACCGTGCTGCCAGTTTCTTTGCAAACTAATAGTTTACTGGAATTGGCCAGAAATGGCAACATATCAACCTTTTTTAGAAGTATTTATTTAATGCTGACTATTATACTTCTATTGACCTGTAAGACTGGATCATGGTTTTTTTTTCAAAAAAAAAGGCTATGGTTAATCCTAGTGATTTCAAAATATGGCATTCTATAGCAAGGTTCAATATCTGAGGCTTTGAACTTCTCACATTTCTGGCCTCTTATTTACTCATTTTTAAACTATATTGTTGACCCAAGTTTTGAGTTCAAACATCTCTTCACTCACTTTGGATAATTTTGGCTGTACTGGGTGTGTGCTGCGCTGTCAAAAATGCTCCTTTCTGGATAAAGTACAAAACCAAAACTGCTCTGAATTGGATCTTAAAGAAACAATTATATTTTAAGACGACCTGGGAATTCTTAATGCATTGGCCACTTTTTTTTCTTTTCCCTCAACTGATATCACGACAGATTATCTGGTCAATATCACAATGCTGTTTGTATGAGCTTGTTGTTTGCATGGTCCAATAGTGACTCCATGTGTGTCATGCAGTCACTTTTCTACTAACAAGGTTTGGAGTCTGAATGAGGAGGTCTTGTTAGAATTGTAAGTCCTTGTTGAGATGACAACTGGAAGCTGTGTATAGTGTTTGCGTCCTTATTTAGAGAAGGAGCTGTTCACCTTGAGGCAGTGTAGCTGATGTCCACTGAGTTAATTTGTGGAATGAGAGTTGCTATGTGGATATGTTTTCTGTTCAGATGTTGTATAGAATAGGCATGTTATTCTTAGAAGTTTAGAAGAATCGGAGGTAATCCCATTGAAACATGGGATTCTTAACGGGTTTGATACAGGAGATCAGGGCTTCCCAAAGTATCGTTTGGGAACCCAAGTCAGGTCATAAGCTGAAATTCTGGATTCTTTGCTCCAAGGCAACAATATTTCCTATGCCACCTTTCTCAGTTCCTACCAAGGGGTTGTGACAATTTTTGACTCCATTTCAAGGCGTACAGGTTGGAAAATCTTGCAGAAGGACTGCAGTAGATGTCAGACTGTTTCTCCTGCATGCTGAGCCTACAACTAAAAGCTACAGTGTTGGGAGAAGGAGTTGATCATTTTAAGATTTAGATGAAGAATTTCTAATTTTTAGAGGATTGTGAATCTCCTGCCTGTAAAGCCTGGCCAAGACTTACAAGGTCCAAGTGTGAGGGAATGTGTACTCTTTAGTGTTTCAGAGGGCTAAGTCTTCCAAGTCCGATTGCCACTCCATTTCTTTTTACTTGATGCCCCTCCCCACCCCGGCCCTCCATTTCTGGCTTGAAGTTCCAATTTGGAGCTCACGATTCCAAAGACTTTCCAACGTAGCGCATGATCAGCTCTAGAAGCAAACCACACATCCCTTATGGCAGTAAGTGCTGTATTCGTGGGCTTAAAAAGGTTCAAAGTTGTCTCGACAAGGAGAGAAGGTAAGCTGAAGAAGGGGTTGGGTGACGGGCAAAGAGTAAATGAAAGCTGATTCCTGTGAACACGGAACTTGAGGCTATGGAGGGTAGTACTAAAGAACCTAGAGAAAGGTGCAAGTTCTATGGAAATCAAGGCTGAAACTGAGATCAGAAATCAAAACTGGTTGAAATGTACCTGGGATACTAGCTGTCTGAAATCTGTAGATGATTCTAGTGGTGCAGGAAGGGGCACTTTTAGAAGATAGTGGTGATATCCAAAAACTGAAAATGTACAAAGATGCAACATGACATAGATTTACTGATCATATCTTATTGTTATCAAGATACCTTTAAGCAAAGTTTTTCGAAAGTTCTACAGACTTGTGCCATTTTATAAAGACTATTCCTACGTAATTCATGTTTGTGCGCTGGGGATCGGGCAAAATTATAGAACTTCAGCTCCACAGACTTAGTGAGAAGATCGGGGGTTTTTTTTTTGGAAGGATCATGTGACTAAGACTGCCATGTGCTGAGTGGACACCTGGATTAATTTGAAAGACCTGTCTTCTGTCGTTTAATGTATAATTTATAGTTTATAACTGACTGCAATTTTGTATGTTGCTCCACATGAGTTGATTCTGGGTTTCAGAGTATATGTTGTTTCTTAAGAATTTAGCTTGTGCTTTGTTGAGTCTTGGTATTGTAAAAATTCTTCTGTTTTTAAACTGTGGCATCTGTGGTTTTGGTTTTTGTTTTCAGTAATTTTTCATTTTCTTTTTAAGACAAGTTGCTGGATCCAACTGCGTTGTAACAAGACTAGCTTTATGCATGCAACTTCAGAAGAAAAGTTATTTGATTTTGCATTATTTGTAGCTTTTGGGTCACTTGCAATTCAAAATTTGATTGCTGTAAACTTGTGCATTATTTTCAAATGCATTTTCATTTGTGAATAGGTGACAAATGACTGAAGTTAAGTGAAACCGAAGAAGGTGGCAGTAACAATATGAAGTTATATGTATTTCTGGTTAACACTGGAACTACCCTTACATTTGACACAGAACTTGCTGTACAAACGTAAGTATATACCTTCAGAATTTTACCAATATCTGCAGATCCCAAAGACTCCTCTTCTTGCAGTCATAGTCATACAGCATGGAAACAGACCCTTTGCTCCAACCAGTCCATGCTGTACATAATCCTGAACTAAACTAGTCCCACCTTACCTGCTCCTGGCCCATATCCCTCCAAACCTTTCCTATTCATGTACTTATCCAGATGTCTTTTAAACGTTGCAATTGTAGCCACATCCATTACTTCCTCAAAGTTGACTCCACATGTGTAGTATCCTCTGCGTTTTTTTAAAAAAAATTGCCCCCGTGTCTTTTTTTTAAAATCTGTCTCCTCTCGCCTTAACAATGTGCTTCCCCAGTCTTGAAATCCCCCATCCTAGGGAAAAGACAACTTTCTTTAACTCTGTCTATACCTGTCATTATACTTCTATAAGGTCGCCTCTCAACCTCCTAAGCTCCAGTGGAAAAAGTCCCAATCTATCCAGCCTTTCTGTATAACTCAATCCTTCCAAACCTAGCAATATCTGGTAAATCTCTTCTGAACCCTCTGCAGCTTAGTAATATCCTTCCTATAACTGGCTAACCAGAACTGGACGCAGTATTCCAGAAGAGGCCTCACTAATGTGCTGTACAATCTCAATATGGCTTCCCAACTCCTATTCTGAACGGTTCAATGTATTTGCTGTGATATGGACCTTTTGTGTTATTCCTGATCTGTGTGGTACATGCTTTGTACTTGGTACTGCATAAGTATACTCATAACTGGCTTTTTCCTCAAAGATACTGTCTGTCATGGCACATGTGTTTAGTAACAAAATTTAATACATATGCTGAGTAATTATTAAAAGGAACAACAAATTTCAGCTCCTATAATGAACCAAATTATATCTGATTTGCTTTCAGTGGTGTTTAGCAGTTAGATGAAAATCTTCAGATTTCTGAAGAAGGGTCCAGACCCGAAACATCAGCTTTCCTGCTCCTCTGCTGCTTGGCCTGCTGTGTTCATCCAGCTCTACACCTTGTTATCCCAGTCGGTTCAATATTGAAACTCTCCAGCCAACTTCTGAAATCTCCACGCCTTTTCCAGTGCTATCACATCCCTCCTATAATGTGGATTCCAGAATTGCACACACTACTCTAGCTGTAGCCTAACCAACATTTTTGTATAGTTCCAGCATAACCTCTCTGCTCTTCAATGCTGTGATGCGGGAACATTTAAATACTCACCATTTCATTAATGCAGAATTCTAACACCCACTGGAGTTAATTCTGAACAAATTGGATGTCATAGTAAAACCTGACTTAAGAGATGATTTTTATTTTGCAGCCTGGTTACTGTGGTGATTAGCCACCAAACCTACCTGGCTACCAATGTTCTTTTAACACAATCACAAGTTTATTGTATTGAAGGAGAAGAACAAAGCTAACTTATGATTTCAAAAAAATCTTAACATTAATAACAACAGATATTCAGTCCGTTTTTAAATCCAGTCCTTTATAGATACTCCATCCTAGTGAAGTATCACTCCTATCTTAGCTCCTCAATTTTTTTTCTTAACTGACTTGTTTCAGTTCTGAGGTTGTGGATTCCTTTCTGGTTCTGACAGCCAGTTTTCTACCAACTCTCATTATCTATAAATTCCATAAAACAAAACTCCCACAAAGTACCCTTCTGATGAGATGAAACTCCTAGGCTGGAGCCTACTCCATTTTTTTTTCTGTATGCTGTAAAACCCACTGTACACACTTCAATTAGCTTATAGGTATCTAGGCACATACTTAGTCTCATACAATTTGGAAGTTATGCATTTAGGTCATTGTACCAAGTGACTTATTAAAAAACAATTACCATCACAGAATGAAAACTAAAAACCTAACTGCCTCTACTTCAAAATTCAGCTTCCTGGATAACAATATATACCTGTATCACAAAATTCTAATGAAAAATAAATATTACTACTGTGCATGTAACGTGGTGTTGCTGTTATCTGTCCATGCAGCCAAACAAATACCGATTTCTTATACAAAATTCTTTTGTACTTAATATTTGCAAAAATTAATGGAAAATTGTGATCTTGTAAAATGTATATTAATGTAAGTTATGCAATTTGTAGTAAATTGAATTTGCAGAATATGATTTACTAGTTAGGCTTTATTCAGAATTGAGATAGTTAACTTTATTCTTCAGTAAATATTCTGAATTTGTAACTTCAGTGTTGCAGATCTTAAGCATGCCATCCAAGCTAAATATAAGATCGCGACTCAGCACCAAGTGTTGGTTGTCAATGGAGGAGAGTGCATGGTTGCTGACAGACGTGTTTGTAGCTACAGTGCTGGGACGGTATGTGATCACTTAATTCAGGTAGCTGAATAAACGCTTTGCTGTTTTAAATAAAATTTTGTGCTTTTTGTTTTGAGAAGCTCAAGACTGCAATGACTGGTTAAAGCATTAAGTGCAGAGTCCAAATGAAACTATTTTAGACTGAAGTTTAGTCTACTGCATAGGTCACAGATTTCTTCATGTCATGACCAGGCGAGAGGATAAATTGGCTGCTCGTTCAACCTCCTCAGTTAGCCGTAACGAAGATTTAAGGTTATACCCCCTCTCCAATTAAAATGGTTCTTAACAAATTTCTCCTGTAGCAGAAATGAACAAATTTCAAGGTTGCCACACGTGAAAGAAAAGTTTTATTATCTGCTCATCCAGAGGGGGAAATAATGAAAATGTGACATCAAACACAGACCAGTGAAATGCATTTTTTAAAAAAAGTGACTGCTATCCTTGTCTTAGAATAAAATGTTTTAGTTTGTCTGTTGTCTAATCCATGTTTAAATTTGGCTGCTTGACCAATAGGTGAAGTCTGTTGTTTTAAGGCAGTGTTTTTGGTTGGTTGCTTTTTAACTATAATTTGTCCACTTAAGCCCCAGGTGTTAAATTGGGCAATTGACTTGTGAATTCCATCATCCATGTTTTACATCGCCATGTCATACCTAACTGTGCTCTTGGGCAGTTTTGGTTTGTGATAAATTTAGTGACTATTATCCACCTGGATATTATAAACAATTTAAACATGAATGATTTGAAATTTATAATAGTTTAAAGATCATGAAATTGATGGCTTATGGGCTGAAAACTAGACTAACTTTGACTAAGGAGAGGCTAAAAGAGATTTTAGCATAACTAAGATGAAATGAGTAGTGACATTAAAGGCTGTGAACATTGGAACAGAAAACGTGAAAATGTTACCAGATAACTTGTGTTTACTATGGAGTAAAGGTAACCAGATAATATAAGATGGTTATCAATAATCTGAATCCTGTCTATATAATGTATTTTAATCTTGCATTGAAGCAGTTGTACTAACTAATATATAGCCATTCAGTGAGAGAACTTTTAGAATATGGTGTACATTATTTTCAAATGAAGTTTAGGAGGGTCTTAGCGCAGTCGGAATAAAGCAATCAAGATTGATTCCTGTTATTTGGATCTGAAAACTTGAAATTTATCGCATTGATCTATCTTATTCCCAGAGAAAGCCAGGTTGAAACTAATGCTAAGACGAAAGGACAGTTTAGATGTTAAGAAGTTGGAATTGAGAATTAATGAACATGTGCACAAAATGAATTGGCTATCAACAAAGATTTAGAAATGAATGCTTTGTTTGCTATTTGCTTCACACATCTCTGCCCTCCCACTGTCATGTCTCAGGAAAGACTCTCTCTCAAAAATAATGCTGTGTCACTAGTTAAATATCTTCCTGTGAAACCATTAAAAGTGTCAGGATAAGGACAATGTTTGCTCCAAATAGACATTTTATTTAAAAAAAAAACAGTGGTTACTGTGACTGAAGAAGTCTCATACCCAGGAGTAATGAATCAAAGTATAATGTACGATATTAGAACCAAATGAAAATGCCAGTTTAATAAATAGCAATTTTAACCTATCCATAATTTGATGTACTCTGTCTTTTTAATGTTTGTCTCTTTTTTTTTCTCATTTTGCATTGCAACCTAGTTTTCAGGATTTAGCATGATACATATGAATTTGAATCCACGTATTAATTTAAAATACATGGGGCAGATGGAATGTGATTTGCATAGCCATTGTAATTGTGCATTCTTTAAAGATATATTGCTAGAGTGTTCCAGTAAGTTCCTGTAACAGAGTGGTTAATCATTCCTGTTTTGTAGAAAGATGATTTGAATACATAGCTAAATTTAATCCTAATTTCTTTTTATACATTTTAAATCACAGGATACAAATCCCATATTTCTTTATAACAAAGAGATGATTCTGTGTGACCGTGCACCAACTATACCTAAGACAACATTTTCTGCAGAAAATGAGATGGGGCTAAAGGTAGAGGAGTCCCTTATGATGCCAGCTGTATTTCACACAGTAGCCTCGAGAACTCAACTTGCTGTGGTAAGATGGGCAAAAATCTATGCTTGTAGTCTGTTTGCATTTAATTGTTGAAATATTATCTTTTCTGAGTGGGTGTTATTGTGAACTTCAAACAGCTGTCTGAATCATTGCGGCACTGTTACTCAACTAACATGTTTCTGATCTTCTAAAGCAATACTCTAAATGAAAAGCTATTTGCTGTGGTTGGTTCATTAGTTTGCAGACATTTCATTACCCTGATGGGTAATATCATCAGTGCAGCCTCCACTAAAGCGCTGTTGTATTTAAACTCTGGGGTCCGTTGGATTTGATTACCTCATTTCCAGTTTTCCTTTTGCAGTGGTGTACATATTGGGGTCTAGTTCTACATGTTTGTTGATGGTCTTCTTGGTAGAGAACGAGGCCTCTAGGAATTCTCGTTCTTGTCTGTTTGGTCTGCCCTAGGATCCTGGTTTTGTCCTAATCGAACTGGTGGTTTTCCTGATCTGTGTGAATGGAGATGAGTGAGTATTGGTCACGTCTTTTTGTTGCTAATTGGTGTTCATGTACCCTTGTGGCCAATTTTCTTCTTCCTATCTGTCCAATGCAATGTTTGTTGCGGTCCTTGCATGGGATTTTGTGTATTATGTTGGTTCTGTCCATAGTGGGTAAGGGGTCTTTGGTTCAAGTTAGCATAGGTGCGACGTGGGTTTGTGTGCTACTCTGATGCCCAATGGCTGTAGGCGTTTTGTGGTCAGTTTGGATGTGTTCTTGATGTATGGTAGTGTGGTGTTAGGGCATGCAGTATCTTGTGTGATAGGCAGCATCGGATCCAGTTGTTCAGGTATCCCTTGTCCTTAAGTACTTAGTGGAGGTACTCTTCTTCCTTTTGGCGTAGTTCTGGGTTGCTAAGGAAGTGTTGTCGCTCGTTTAAATAGTGTTTTCATACACACAAGAACGGGAATTCCTAGAGGCCTGGTTCTCCGCCAAGAAGGCCATCAACAAACACATAGAACTAGACCTTAATATATACACCACTGCAAAGGAAAACTGGAAATGAGGTAATCAAATCCAACTGATCCCAGAGTTTAAATACAACAGCGCTTCATTGGAGGCTGCACTAATGTTACTCAGCAGGGTAATGAAACATCTGCGCACTAACGAACCAGCTCGGCGAGCGAGCCAATCACAGCATCCACAACCCGAGCTACAGATCTACTCCAGAACCTTAGAAAAGCTATTTGTTTTGTCCTCGTTGTACTAGAGACTTTGTTTCTTGTGCGACTTTTGCTAGATTGTAGCACTCAAATTAAGTGTTAATTCATGAAGATGAACCTTTTTTGATTCAGGATCTTGGTTAACTATTCCAGATTTAAGCTGTCTAGGTACAGTTTTTTAGGGGCAAACCCCAGGTTGCAAATGGGTTCCATTCTGGAGTCCGTTTGTAACTCTTTGTACATGAGTTGGGACATAATGCAAGACCGTAAAAAGGAGCCACTTGTAAATGCAGGTAATGTTTGTATGTCAGATCTTTTAAAAATTACTTCCATGCATGAGAATGTGTTTATAAATATTGAGCATTTGTAAGTAGGACATTGTAAATTGGGGATCCAATGTATATTTTAAGAAAAAACTTCTTCAAACTTTTTTTTTAACCTTGCCGTCACCTCTTCATTCCTCCTTGCTGAGTGGTAATGCCTTGCAATTCTATAAAGTAGGCAGAGCTTCAAATAAGTACTCCCTGTGGAACGTTCTTGAAATGCTGATCTGAAATTTAAATGAGGTTTATTTCTGCAGAAGGGTCTAGGCCCGAAACGTCAACCTTCCTGCTCCTCTGATGCTGCTTGGCCTGCTGTGTTCATCCAGCTCGACACCTTGTTATCTGAGGTTTCTTAATATTTGGCTACTTGTGTCTGTCTTTTATTGTACAAAGATTTTTCAGGGTATTTTGAATCACCATTTTTCTGTTTTAATTTGTACAACTGGAAACATTCTATTGATCTATATTTTGCACTTGTTTCTTAAAAGCTGTCTTTAATGTCAAAATTGCTGAAAGACAGTGCCAGTGTTTAAGAATATATTGAATAGGTAGATGAAGGAAAAGGGCTTAGACGTATGTAGGAGAAGTAACATACTTAGAAAAATTCACTTGCACGAAGGACAAGCAACAAACTGGATGAGTCACTAGGAAGCCTGCTTCTGTGTGTTCTAGCATTTCTGTAATGATCTGAATGTATGTTATAATGTGCAAACCAGATTTTTAAGCAAATTTCATAATCCTTCTATCAAACATTTGGGTGCATTATGAAAGTAGGCAATCTGCAATCTACCGCTTATGCTTCTATGGAATTCCTTAACTTTAATTCCTGTGACAGCTAATATTTGCTTCTAGTTGTAGCACAATATTGATGAAATAACCATTACATGCTTGCCTAATTTCTACTGCTCGAACAGGTCTACAAAAATTAATACTCCATTTATAAATGAGGCTTTATTTCACTTCCATCAATCAATTGGCAGATTAAGGTGCTAAGCTACAGTGAAGAGTCTTCCCTTCTTTGAGAAATATTACACAATCTAAATAACTTGAATCCATATCTCAATTAAGACTTTGCCAATCATATTTTATAACATTAGATAACTCTGGCGTCAACTTATAAATTTCTAAATCCAAAATCTGTGGTGCTGTATAGATTTTATTTCATGCATCTGAGTGAAAAGGGAACCTAAAACAACTATGCACCTTTTGCTTATTGCAAATCTTTAAAACTGACCATCAAATAAATGATTTAAGAGAGCAGTTGGGAACAAAAGATGTTACTTAATTCGTTAAAGTCTGAGTAATGTTTATGATGCTTAAGTAAAGCATAATGAATTACCTCTTGAATTGGGTGTAAACATTACATTGCAAATAGTGTTTTCACTGATGTAGTGTTTTTTTTTTGAAAAACATCCCAAATGTAGAAAAATGTTCCTCGACATGAACCAGACAAAAGTCTTAAGGGTCCTGTTGATTTTTGTTTTCAAAAAAAGACACAGCGATGAATTGGTTTCTACAATAATTGTTTTCTTTCATGCATGGATCATGCACGAGATCCCTGTGCAGCTGGCCAAAATATGAAATATCTAATTTGTTACTTCTGAAGCTCTTTCCAGTTTGAATGCCCAATCTAGATAGTTTCACCTGCTTTTCTGCTGTCTAGCCACAGTAACATTGTGGCTCCTCAGTATATGTATGTATTTTGCATGGAAACTAGAAATTATATTTGTAAGGAACTCCCAGAATGATGGAACCAAGCTTTTATTGACTAGCTTCAAGTGGAGCATCAGTATTAAAATGAAATTGCAGCAATATATTAAAATATTGGTAAAACATTGCTAATGTGGAGTAACTTTGTTCATAATCAGAGTTGTCAAACACCGTACACACAGGTATACAGTGTAAACCATCTTTAATGACCATTAAGGGGATGAGGAGTAGTGGGAAAGGTGAAATCACAACTTTTGTGGAAGTGTAACAGTCCACAGCGATTAAGTATAGTGTATGCGTATATATGCTTACAGCATGTTTGTAAAGTTTGAGACCCTCCTTCAAATGCTCTAACCTGATCTTATAATTAGATCTACTCCTTTTTTCAGTATTTCATCCTTTTACATTCCTCTTGACTCTTGTCAAAATTCTTTCTGCCTACTCACTAATGACCTCCTCACCAATATCTTTTTCACAGCATCCTTACTTAGATTTTGCCCTGAATGTCACTTTGTCATCTAAATCTCTGAAATTCAGCTAGCTATCTCTTTGAACCAACAGTCTACAACTGTAGAATTTCTGTTTGAGTGCATTTGGTCCCATAGGGACACTAATGAACCAGATCAGACCCCCTAACGTTTTCTAATTTTGACGGCAAATGTAAAGTGCTGTGTTCCAGATGCAATTCAGCTAGTCAAACTACTTGACATTAAGCAAAACACAATTTATTCAAACACTATATAGTTGAAATACAACAAAAGAAGAAGAACTTAGAATAACTTAAATCTATTGGAAAATTTAACACAATAATAGATGAAGTAACTATTACCAATTAACTGTTCTAATACAGTAATATCCCATTTAACACACCCCTTGGCAAAATTCAGAAGATAGATTTGCCTCACGTGTAACGCCAGCAATCCAGAAGGAAAAACATCGAGAGAACCTTAGAAGCAGCTTCTAACCCTTCTGAAACTCCCAAGAGCAACGGATTCTGAATGTCAAAGCTAAAAAACCTAGAAATACTGGTCTGAGAGTTGGCCACTCCCAGCTAGGCTGCTTCTATTGTTCTAATGTTTTTTTTTAAAAAAATACCCAAGGCCTCCCAAGCTATTTATGGGAATTCATTAGTCAGCTCTACCTTTGCCTTAAAACATCTAATCCAAAAAAAGGACAAAATATGTCTGTTAAAGCCACAGCATCGTCACAACATGTATTGTTTTCTGAAGGCAGGGAAACTTGGGTTATAGCACAATAATTTCGAAAATCCTTTTTATTTGTGCAGAGTTTAACCAGTCAAAAGCACACAGTTTACCAAGACAGTGCACTGTGAGTCTTCTAGCTGTGTGTACAGGCAGTATTATGCAGCTATTCTGCCTGTTACGTGAAACTTGCAGTCCAGGAAATGATCACTTGGCTCATCTGATGTTCAAATTGATGTACATGCCTTATTTTATCCAATTCCATCTGCACATCTTCTGTTCCTTTATCCCTCGTACATTTAAGAAAAGCCCACCTAAATACACCTTAATGCATTTTTTTCACTTGCCCGGTTATTTCAGGGAAGAATCCCAATGATGGGGCTACCCCTCCAAGTTTCACTTTTGATAGAGTGGCTAGTTATTAATATCTTAGAGTGTTGGAAATTTACCTGCATTACTGATTAAACAGTGGACTTGATTCTAAATATCAGTTGCTGGGTGCATCTTTAAAAGGACTGAAACCACATATGATCTGATATTCTGGCTCCAAATAATGCCTTAAAGAATTAAAGTTCTCTTGTTTTATGGTGGGCATCTACTTTCAATAATGGAAAGCCTTGCACAGTTCTGTCTGAATTATGTCACCCTTCTCAATATCCATCTAGAGCTTGCTAGACTTATTTATTATCAATCTATATAATTTAAGGTCTTATGAGGAACTCTGCCTGATAACATCCTCCCAGTTTATCAAATGTTTAACTGTCTTTATTCAACCTTTGGAGGTTGCAACCTGGCTCTGAAATGAGCTAAACGGGAACCTCTGGCATTTGTTCTGTAATTTTGAAATGCTTTACTACGTTTTATTCATTCTTTTCACAACCCTATGGTGCACTTTTGTCAAGTGAGGCCAAGTAGAATCACATGATATTAAAGTGCAGCAAACTTTGCTTTAACCAGCACCTTATGACCTGGTGCACTCGATAAACCAGCAAAAATTATAACCTCAAATACCGGAAGTTTACTGTATTATCACAAACACCGCAATGTCCAAGTACTCAGTTGTTAGTGCAAGTGAGAAGGCTAAGTTGCATTATTATTTAAGTGATTTATGCTGGAAATGAAGTGTAATAGTGACATTAAGCAAAAACGCAGTTTATTTGAACACTATAATTAAAATACAGACAAGTTGAAGAACTTAGAATAACCTAACTATTGGAAAACCTAACTGAATATTGGATATAGTAACTATTACTAATGAACTGTTCCAATATAGTAACATCCCATAAACACACCCTTTGGCAAAAAGGAAAATTTTAGTAAAATAGACTTGTCTCCAGGTAACTCAGCAGCAGAAAGAAACCCTAGCTACTAGCAATAGCAGAGAGAGAAAAGATAGCTTTTACCTGCACTGCTGCCTCACAGTGCCAGGGACCCGGGCTCGATTCCACCCTCTGGCGACTGTCAGTGTGGCGTTTACACGTTCTCCATATCTGCATGGGTTTCCTCCCACAGTCCAAAGATGTGAAGGCTAGTTGGATTGGCCATGCTAAATTGCCTGTAGTGTTCAAGGATGTGTAGCTTAGGTGGGTTATAAGGGGATGGGTTTGGGTGGGATGCTCCGAGGGCCAGTGTGGACTTGTTGGGCTGAAGGGCCTGTTCCCACACTGTAGGGATTCTTAAAAATAAAAACTGGTTAAAGCTAAACCTAAAAAAACTAGAAAGCCTGGTATGAGAGCTAGCCCCATCCAGCCTGACTGCCACCATTGTTCCAACGTTTTTCAAAAAAATACCCAAGGCCTGTCGAGCTGTTTACTTTCTTACAGCTCGCCACCTCTCATTCAATCTCTTTTTTTTTAAGAAAAAGGACAAAATAACCTCTTAAAGCCACGTCATCGTCCATGGTATAAATAGCAAGAGCAGGTTTTTTTAAACCAGCTGGTTAGTGACCAGTGCTTACAGTTGCGGTCCCATTGAGCATAATGAGCAGGCTCACACCTGAGTTGGGACAGCAAGTTGAAGGCCCAACACTCCAGTCTTGAGATCGACAGCCCCAGCATCAGAGGTGGGAGCTACAGGAAGTCTTAAGAGGCAATGCAACGAATGATGCAGATGCCCTATGGAGCCTGTATTAGAAGACAAAATTGAAACTCTGACCATCTTGCGATCATGTCGAGATGTCAGAAATAGTAGATAGAACTCTGATCTAATTCTTGTGATGGTGGCAGCTTTCTCCATCTTTGGATCATATTTCAGCCTTGATGGGGATCTCCATGTTGACTGGAAAACTCTCCAGTTGGCATCAGTAATATGGCATGATTAAGCCCTTTTTAATGATGACTAACTTGATCCAACCAACTGTTGGATAGCAGTTTTCTTCCCAAAACCAACATGTTCCTGAGTGGCCAGGAAGTTGGAATTTGGGAATTTGCAGGTGATCAATCTCTGATCCTACTTCCATAGTCTTTTTAAAAATTCATCACCTTGAGAGGTAATATGTCCTTAATGCACATTCATCTTATATAAGTCGTTGCAAAAAAAAATGCTGCTTGATGTATGTTTTAGGTTTTGAATTACATCTATGGTATACAAAATATTTGAATTGATTTTGATTCGATTTATTGCTTTCCAGTTGATCTTTTCATTACAAATCCTCATTTTTGTTCCTCTTTGATTACTTTCACATGTATAGATTTGAAGAATTGATAGCATATCAGCAAAGTCATTTGAAAAATGAAGTATCCCACAAATTCTGTTTCTGATAAAATGCATAGTTGCCATGGAAATAAACTGACATTGCGTTTATGCTCTCATTTTCTTGGATAGGAGATGTATGAAGTAGCAAAGAAGCTTTGTTCATTCTGTGAAAGATTGGTCCATGATGAACATCTTCAGCATCAAGGTTGGGCTGCCATTATGGCCAATTTGGAGGACTGCACCCATTCTTTTCAAAAGCTGTTGGCAAAGTTTGAAAACGCATACAGCAATTATGAACATTCTGTGGAAGATATTAAGCAAAAGCTTACAAAGTAGGTATTTATAAGTCATAAATACTCAACAGTTCTATAAAGTATGCTTTTGGAGTTTACATTGTCACCTTGGAATCCACCACAACTTGTTAAAATGCTTGAATCAGGCATCATTTTTATTTCCGATTACTACAGAAATACATCTGTGGCATTCATGAATTACACATTTTAAAATGAAAAAATGCTTCAATATTACTATAGTGTTGTTTCTGAGGTACTTTTAGTTTGTTCAGGGAGTTATAGAGGCTAAAAAAATGGCATTCCCTATTCTTGAGATTTATGAATCCTTCAAATCTCCCTCTACTCCACTTCCTGCTAATCATCTATAATTTTCTGTCATGCGTACGAGCATGCTGGAGTTTCACCTAGACTAAGATGTCCATGTATAGCTCAACTCTAGAAAGTGAGGTCGGGAAGAGTATGCACTATTTGACTCCACATCTTGTTATCCTGTGATGCCAGATACAGGTAACAATAGTCTTTGGTTTGACTGTGTTACCGTATAGTGTGTATTTTTACTATTGCATTAGACAAAATCATTTCATTTTAAATGACAGCTGTGTCTAATATGAGGAAGTGCAGAAGGACGGGAAAAGGCAGAATTCTGACTTTGGATAATGGAATTCTAGTTTTTTTTTCTTTTGTTTTTTGATCCCTGACTCCACTTAGCTTCCACTACTTCCAAACACTGCCAAATCTGCGAAGGGAATCCCAAAGTCTGGTTAATAATGAGACTGAGGAGCATGCTTATTTTCTTTCACTCATCCCATTAGGAGGGTGTGCTCTGTTACTGGTAGACCTTTGTTATGTAATTTATACACTGGGGCTGGGGAGTCACTGACTTGCCAGCATTAATTACCCATCCCTATTGCCCTTGAACATGTTGCACCTCTTCCATTTCCCCATTTCCCCATTTCCCAATCCCCAACCTCCATATTGTTGGGAACCTGAGAGGGATTGGGGTGAAATGGAGCCTGAGTATCCTCTGGTTAGAGGGTGTGGTTGGATAGACACACCGAAGTGAGTGTTTTGATCTAGGGGTGTGATAAAAGTGGCTGTGGGAAGAGGATTTTGAAAGAAAGTCTGTAAGACTGAGTAGGTGAAGAGATTAGAAAGAAACGCTGCTGAGTGAGTGAGGTGGTTAACAAGTTTTGAGAAGATTAGCCTTTGTGGTTTGGTTGAGGGATCTGGGAAGAGGATGATGAGCGAATGGAAAATGTGGAGTTGAGAAGAAGGGCTGATGAGCGAGAGAGGTGGGGAGGTAGAGGGTGGTTAGGTAGAGGTGCTGCTGAGTGGGCAGAAGGAATTTAGAGGATGGGCATGCAGATGTGTGCAATGGGTGAGCTTGATTTTTAAAAAGCAAACTACAAGGTGCCGTGCAGTATGGATGGTTTCCACAAGCTTGTGTGTTTTTAATCAGCCAGTGCATTTATGGGGGAGGGATGCTTGAAAACAAGAAACCAGAGGAAGGACATTGAGAGGAGGGTCCCAGTTATGATTCATATTCCTAAGTTGATCGGTTAAATTCTTATTCTGTTAAATTCAGTTGAGTATCAGACTACTCTACTGCATGGAATTTTAGGGCATGTGCAGGAGCCTGGAACATTATGGCAGCAGTAACCCATCACTCCAGTCAACTTTGGGTTATTGGTTGTTTGTAGTTTGCTGTTTTCTTCACATGTTTTAGGAAAGACGTGAGTTCTTGGCAGAATTGATGCCAAGTGTGTTGGATTTGGATCATGCTTTAGTTTCTGATCATTCATGAAGATGTGCAATTTTTTATTTTGGCATTGCAGGCTTGGAATACATAGGATAAAGTTTGAGAGATTCACCACCATATGTTGCAATAGTCTGCCAAATGTATAATATTTTAAGGACCTGGTTTAGAGTTCAGAAGGATGGAAGTTGAGTAACAGATGTTATCAGCACAAATGAATATATCGGATGTCATTGTTAGGCAGGTTACTTGCCTGTGTTGAACAGATTTTTGAACTAGCATGAAGTCCTGTGGTAGGTTAATGGCTGTCTTCTCCATGCACCGTTCCATTGCCCAAGGTGGACTTTGAATCGATTGTTGTGAAAGATTGTCTTGACAACTGTCATAGCTCAGGTTGGAAGCAATCCTGGAAAGCTTTGACTGAAAGTGGTGGCGTTGGTAGATAACTGACCGCCAATGTGGAAGATTTTCTAGGATTGAAATGCAAATGATTTTTGCCATATTTCATAACTTCACAAGTGAATTTGAGTTACTTTTTCTTGTGTAGAACCACGTCAGTCAGGCACAAGTGCAGAAACCTTTTTATTTTGATGCAATATTTTCACATCTTGAAACTACCAAAATGGGCAACTCATTTTCCCACATTATTGCTCCATCTACTAATTTTTTTTCTTAACCTATTCATCTAACTTATCTACGTTCCTAGATCTTCAGTACTGAATTTGAATATCACCAGACTTGAAACACTAACTCTATTTCTTTCCACATATGCTGCCAGTCCTGCTGAATTCCTCCAGCGTTCAGTGTTCGTTTGTTTTCCAACATCTGTTGTATTTTGATTTTGTATCTTTGCAAACTCCTGTCGTCTTCACAGCTTCCTCTTATTTTTAATATATTGCTGAAATACTTTTCATTGTTTCTGCATAAGCAATTGTATCCATTGCAAATTTGTACAAATCCAAGAATGCTTACTATCATGTTGTTGAGAAAGGAGGTATTGTTAGATGCAGTTCTTGTGAGGTAGACCAAATAGAGCAGGTGTCAGTGGAGGAACATTGTAATGGACAGTGATCGTTGTATCATGAAGTTTAGTTTCTGTTGGTAGCGGAGAGGCAATAGCTTAGTGGTGTTATCGCTGGACTGTTAATCCAGAGACTCCGGTAATGTTTGGGAGACCTGAGTTCGAATCTCTCCATGACAGACAGTGGAATTTGAGTTCAGTATATATCTGGAATTAAGAGACCATGAATCCAAACTTGCTTGTTGGAAAAATGCTTCTGGATCACTAACCTCCTACTTTTTTTTGGGGAAGAAAGCTGCTATCCTTGCCTGGTCTGCCGTACATGTGACTCCAGACTCTCAACTGTTCTCGGCAATTAGGGATGGACAGTAAATGCTGGCCAAGTCAGCAATGCCCTCATCTTGCAAATTAATTTAAAAATACAAAATGGCAAGGAACAGTCTCAAGCAAGAAAATTTAATTGGGGATAGCTAACTTAAAAGGGGATAAGAATGGATCTGACCCAGATAAATTAGAATTATAGGTGAGAGATGTGGGCACTTTGGAGCAGGAATAGGCCAGTCAGCGCCTCTGCCATTTCAGGCCATGACTGATTTATCTCAACACCATTTTTGCACATTATCCCCATGTTATTATCATTGATGTCATTAGTATCTAGTATTCTTTAAATCTGTCTTGAACATGCTTTGCTACTGAGTGAAGAATTGCTGCCGCTGCCTTTGTTGTAAACGGCTTGCCCCCTTGTTCTAAGACTTTGTCCTATACCATTACCACTCTCTCTCCGAGGAGAAATGTCCTTTTCTGCATCTACCTTGTCCAGCTCTTTTGGTATTTTGTAAACTTCAGTGAGGTCACCTCTCAATCTTCTGGACTCTAGAGAATGCACGGCCAATACGTTCAAAAGACTGTACCACCGTCTCCTGGAATTAACCTGGTGAACTTCTGCTGCGCTCTGCATTCCATATATCTTCCAATATATTGTTCCATAGGTAAGAGGATCAAAATGCTGCATGATTCTCTGGATGTGGTCTCACACAATTGAAGTAATACATCTTGACTCCTCTACTCTGGGTCCACACCTTTTAAGGATTTTTAAAAAAATCTTTCTTCATTCACGGCATGAGGGTGTCGCTGGCTAGGCAGCATTTATTGCCCAGGGGGCGGTTATGAGGCACCCACATTGCTGTGGATCTGGAGTCACATGTAGGCCAGACCAGATAAAGATGGCAGTTTCCTTCCCTAAAGGACATTAGTGAACCAGGTGGGTTTTTCCAACACTCGACAATGGATTCACGGTCATCATTAGATTCTTAATTCCAGATATTTATTGAATTCAAATTCCACCATCTGCCATGGTGGGATTTGAACCCAGCCCCCAGAACATTATCTGGGTCCCTGGATTAACAGTCCAGCAACAATACCGCTAGGCCATTGCCTCCCCATATATTGGTTCTGGAGGGAATGCAATATTGTTTTAGAAGAATTAGGCCTGTTTTTCTTGAATTTGGAATGTAAAGGGGTGATCTTATCAAAATCTTTAGGGTATTACCAAGAAATGACAGTTTATCTTTATCTACCGTATTTACACTGGTAGGGGATTCTCGAGCTAGGGGACAAAGTCCAAACCTTCGAGCTAGACCATTTACAAGAGGTGTAAGCAAGCACGTTTGCACACAAGGGGTCTTAGAGGTTTGGAACTGTCTTCCACATACAGTATTTGAGATCAGATGTTAATTTTAAATCTGAAATTGCTGAACAAAAGATTGACTATGTCCCTTAATATGTTAGATAAAGGCAAGTACATGGATTTAGACCACAGATCAGCCATGACTTAATGTATTGATGGAATAGACTCTGGGCTGAATAGCCTGCTCCTGTTCCTACGTATTCAGAACTTCAACCAACAACCCAATAGCCTTTCTAATAGCTTGCTGCACCTGCATGTTAACTTTCAATGACTTATGAACAAGGATGTCCAGGTATCTTTTTTAGATATTAACATTTCCCAATCTGTCAACAGTTGAGCAATATTCTGCACCTTTGTGCCTCCTACCAAAGTAGATAACCTCTCAATCATCTATATGATTGCGTGTTGGGAAGATTTTCTTGAAGCAGGCTTGATGAATTATTTCATTGCATGTTGCATGTAGTACTACAGGCATTGTATATTGGTAGACGAGTAAGGGAATGTTTAAAATGGTAGATGCTGTGCCAATTGGGCAAACTGCTGTCTAGCATCTTGGGTGCTTGCAACTCAACATT